GAGAAGAGAAGAGAAGTGGAACGATCTATGGAAGTAGTCGGAGGTGGAAGAGGAGGAGAAAGTGAAACATCAGCAACACTATCTACAATGGGTAAGACATTAACTGAAGGGTCAACATTGAGGGGAGGAAATAGACCATCAGAGGAAGAGAAAGAAATGGGAATGTGGAGGGAGGAAAAGTCGGAAATGGAAGACACATTTAGGTGTACTTCTTTGAGTGCATGGAGGGAAGAATTGCAACCTCCGGTCCATGCAGAGTCCACAGGGGTGCGGACTAATTTTTTGCCTCTGCGGAAGTGGATCCTTGCTCCTCGGTCTGGGCCATGCAGGCCTTAGATGTGCGAGAAGAAGACTTAGGGCAGTCCTTGACCATGTGGCCAGACTGTCCGCAGAACATGCAAAGTTTCTCATCAAGACAACCCTTATGCTCTTGTGGTGTGAGCTTGCCGTTGTCTCCGAGTTTTGATGAGGGATCCGGCTTGGTGGAGCTGGCCTCAGACTTCTTGTTGTCCTTTGAAGGCTTGCTACCAGAAGCGGGATTGAACGAGGAGGAGGGAGGAACGGTGTCGGAGTGGGAAGCAGTAGTGGACTTGTTGAAGACATTGGAAGTGGAGGGTTTCGCATGACGAGTTACTTCGGATTTACGCTCCCAATAGTGTGCATCGAAAGTCTGTGATAAGGTGCAAAGTTCCGAAAGGGTGGATGGTTTCCCTACCCTGGCAATGTCATCTTTGATACATTCCGGCAATCTGTTATAGAAAAAATGGCAGAGTGCGGCTTCTCTGTAACTGTGAAGTTGTGATGCATGTCAATTGAACTCGACGACGTACTTGTTGATATGATGACCATCCTTCATATCCAGGGTCATGAGTTGGACTTCAGCATCGCCCACAGGATCGTGAGGACCAAAGTTGGTCTGGAGTTCATTGACAAACTCCTGGTAATTATTCATCCAACAAGGATGAAGTAAGGGATTTTGGTCGAACAGTAGGTCCAGCTCAAACCAATCAAGAGCCATCCCCTTGAGGTAGGACTGCATGAAGATAACCTTGGTGTGATCACTAGCGAAAGCAAGGGGGTGGTCCTGGAAATTCAGTTCACACTGGACCAAGAATACTCGGAGTTCATGGGGGTCTTTTCCATTGAACTGTTCAGGCTCATGGACCTTGGTCCAGAGGGTGGAAGAAGGTGGAGGAGGTGGGTGTCTGGTGTGATGAGCCAAGCTGGTGATGGCCTGGGCTAGCTGTGTGATAGCTATGTTAGGAATAGGCTCGGCATCATTGGTGACTGGGACAGTAGGGATAGGAGGATCAGCAGGAGGAGGGTCAACAAAGTCAGGGACCTCGGCACCGAGTCCAAAGAAGTGGACTGGATCTATGGGTTGTTTGGTGGTGTCTCCGAAGTCGGAATCTGCAACTGGTGATCAATTTCTAACAGGGCACATGATCGGAGTTGATGGGAGTGGGGTTTCTAATTAGAGAAGCTATGAAACTCAACTGGGTTTCTCACCAGATGACTAGGACCAGGCTGTGAGGGTTCGGGAGATGGTGAGGCTGAGTCAGGAATCAATGTGTGTAGTTGTGAACGAGTGCGAGGGGCTTTGGGTGCCATACAAGACATGTACTGTCAGGGAGTGATAAAATACTGTTAGAGACCAGATGCAGGATGAGGGAGACGTCCCTGTGGTGGAGGGCTTCAGCCTCAGCGACTTAGACCAAGAGCGCTGTGCCTAGTTACACATCTGTGCCCTAATTTACTAACTGGCAGCGAGAACTAAAGGGGGATAACTCTAGTCGATTTTGTCACTAGGGTGTAACCTTTCTACAAGTTATGTATATATAGTTACATAGAGGGTGGGCCTGTGAATGGCGGGACCAAGCAGAGTGGAGCTAACGGAGTTAATGTTAGCTGACTGAATATTACTGATGAGTCAGGTTACGGGGTTAGCAGAAAGGCAGACTATAACCCAGAAACAGAAAGGAGGGATAGGCCTGAAGGTAGGCTTGCAGGGCAAGCAAGTGAATTGCCCAGCAGGGGCGGGAGTGTGCTAGCAGACGTTGGAGCTGTCCAGAGGCCTTCAGGAATCTGTACTTAGGGAGGCATAGGTAATATATTGAATTGAGGGGTGGTGACCATCAGGGGAGTCAGAGGTAGTTGCAGAATCTGGAGGCTCCAAGGTTAGTGACAAAGGAGTGGAGGTGATCCAGAAGGAACTGAGGTAGTGGAGGGTGATGGCCATGGATGGATATGATGACAACCCCAATCCTCCGGACTACAACTTCCGGGCTCCAGACCTTTCTGGACGTCTTCCTCTGTAGTCCTTGCTCATTTTTAGACGGTTCCAGGCCTTGCCATTCAGTTGGCTTTTATTCTCCCACTCCACAAACCTCAGACATAATTCGGGCTTTTCGCATATCCATACAACTCTGGACCTCTGCTCCTGTTTCTGGACCTCCATCTCCTCCTCCAGAACTCCACATCCTCCACCTCCACCTCCCCCTGCTGGTTGTTGAGAGCCCACTGTACCTCTGGCTCCAACACAACATCCAACACTACCTCCGATCCAACTCCAGTTTACTCCAGGTCCGATCCCAACCTCATACCTTCCAGACCAGAGCTTGTGGTGCTCCACACCTCCGGCTCCGGACTCCTGTACCGGAACCCCATCACACCTCCACCTCTGGAACTCCGGTCACATCTCTGCCTCCAGACTTTGACCTCCTCCTCCATCTTATCTCCTTGTATTCCTTATTGCATTTCATTTATTACATCTAGCCAATATTCCTGTTAGAGACCGGAACAAGATGAAGGAGTTGTCTCCATGGCGGAGGGCTTCGGCCTCAGCGACTCAGACCAGGAGCACTGTGCCAAGTTTACACGTCCATGCCCTAATTTACTTACTGGCAACAAGAACTAAAGGGGGATCAACTCTAGTCAATTTTATCACTGAGGTGTAACCTATGTACAAGTTAAGTATATAGTTACAGCGAGGGCGGGCCCGTGAATGGTGGGACCGAGCAGAGCAGAGCTAATGGAGTTAAACATTAGCTGATTGAATATTACCAACAAGTCGGGTTACAGGGTTAGCAGAATGGCAGGCGATAACCCAGAAACAGAAAGGAGGGATAGGCCCGAAGGTAGACTTGCAGGGCAAGCAAGTGAATTGCCCAGTGGGGGTGGGAGTGCACCAGCACTGTCCGGAGGCCTTTGGGGCTCCATACTTAGGGAGGCATAGGTAATATATTGAAAAGAGGGGGTGGTGACCATCGAGGGAAGTGGAGGTGATTGCGGAATACGGGAGCTCTGAGGTTAGTGAAGAAGGAGTGGAGGTAGTCCAGAAGGGTCGGAGGTAGTGGAAGACAATGGCCATGGATGGATATGACAATTCCGGACTTTGACTTCCAACTCTGCACCTCCGGAACTTACTCCGGACCCTGCAGTTTCTACTGTATGGTGTCATTTAATCCTCTTGTTGCCTCTTCCTTATTTATACAGCTGCTTCCTTTCCATATTAGTCAGCTGTCATTCCCCACTACCCCCTCCACTCCTTCCCCTCTTGGCCTTGCCCTTTTGGGAAGCACCATAGAGTTCCAACCCTTGACCCTTGGGGTTGTTCCCTCATCCAGTCCCCCTTTGTTCTCCTTCCAGTTCCCTTTGTCCTCTGACTCCACTCCTGTAGTATTATATATATACTCTGTACATAGATTCCTGTACCCCTAGTCTGAAATCGACCATGATGACTGGATTGTCCCCCCAAGAGACTCCCCCTGCTAACCTGAAATTAAGGACCACCTTAGACAACAAGCAATGGCACGGCACTCCACTTGAGTCGCTGAGGCCAAGGTCCCTCCATTCCTGAGTCCCTTCTCCACTTCTGGACAACTCCATGCTCTTCTAACAGTTTACCTTCGGATCCAAACTGTTCTGATATATGTACATGCATACCCCTCTAGTAAATAGTTCCCCCAGTTATAATATAGAAGTCTTAAGCCCCTCAAATAGGATGTCTATTGCATCCCCCTCATCTGCTACTCTACTCAGAACTGAGTAATGGGTGCATCTAAGGCACCTTGGTATAAAACCAAAATGAATCATGTGATGAACAATTGACCCTCGCTAACACCTCCCTCGTTAAGTAGTGAGGGGGGGCCTCTGGCCCCCTTCTGCTGGCGGCCTTGGTTCCTCCATCGCCAGCTCCCCTGGCAAATTGGGGACAACAAGAACGTAATGGGCACAACGCTCCATTCCAAGTTGCTGAAGCCAAGTCCCTTCAACACCCTGTCACCCTCAGAGCTCCACTCCACCTCTGGTCTGTCTCTGACCCACCGTCAGACGACCCAGAGTACTGAGCTCCACCAGACAGCGTTGCCTGGATAGCGATCGGACCTATCCAAGGAATGTTCTTCTGACACATGTGACTGGAACCTGGCAAGCCTCTGGGTTGCCAACATCTATTACCCCATATTGAATTATCATGCAACCGCATGCATTCCCTCCAAATGGGGCAATGCCAGCAGATAGCTGACTGCCATGTCATCACGAAGCTGTGAAGTGATAAAATAAATTTATCCTCATCATCATCCCATCATTCTCCAGTTAATAACTGTTAATATGACTTTTCAATATTTACATGGAAATCTCGCCGCTCACACTTGTGGGCCACAGATCAAATTTCGCAATGTTTCAATATAAATATTCCCTCCATGTTATGCATTATGGGGGATGGCAGGTTTGTGGGTTAGGCAATAGGAACCATATTAGTTCCCAGAAGTTTCTATGGGGTTATGTGTTATCTCAGATACATCACAAAAACCGGCAGACACTCTCATCAGCTCTTGAGTGCTCCTGAGCAATTAAAGCAATTAGAGCCCAGGAGAAAGGTACCCCCCTCTGGAGTGCTCTGGAGCATATATTATACTCGATCTCACTGGCTCAGTCTATACATTGTAGACAATTAAATTGTCGTGTTGTTTTGTTGCAGAAAGAGGGATTGCAAAGTTCTATATACAGGAGATGTAACTAATTGTCGTCTCTAAGTATCCGAACCACCTTCCCTCCCCCGTGCACACTTCTGGCAGCTCTGCTTTGGTGTCTACAATATACTTGCTGTTGGATGTAAATAATACAGTGAAGTGGAAAGAACTCACAAGGCAGCGTTACCAAGTGATGATGAAATGTTCAACCACTCCTTGGGTCGCCTCTCACTCCATTGAATGATCCAATCCAAATGGCTCTGGTATATGTTGAAGAAAGAGCTCCCACTGAACTCCATCATGAGATGTCTCCCGGTCTCCCATTCTTTCAGGGCACATTGGATCTAGTAGCAAGGAGAGTGGCTGAGAACAGGAGGGAGAAGGTGGCAAACACACACACTGCTGTTAAGGAAAAAGCCACAGTCGCCCTTGGCATCTTTTCAAATGCCTTGATGTTTCGGTGAAGAGAAGCCTCCCGTCACCTCATAGTTGGGGTGAAAAATGCTAGGATAGTCTCCTGGATGCAGGGGTGCTGAAGCGCTCCCCTGCACTTGTTCTATGTGATTTCATAAGGTGGAATTGGGTTCAGTTCAGAAAAAGAGGTGCATACCATTTCGGTGTCATACTCTGCAAAACAGAAGTTTTCATGCTGCAGTGCTGCACTAACAATCTTGCGATTGACATCCTCATCTGCTCAACTTTATGAGATTCAAAAAGAGTATAGAAGTTCAGGTGAATGCGCCACTGGGATCATACCGGCCTCCTCCATACGGCATCCATGCACCCTAGCTCCAGTGCTGGATGAAGAATGGAGTCAAGACATTATGGCAAGCAAGTGTTATCAGAGAGTGGATAGATTTTATATAAATTGTTTCTCAAGTCACTTGGATTATGCCTTCTATACATCCTTTGAATCTTAGTAATATTATCATCATCACCAATGACAAAACTTGCCTGTGATGTTGGGGAAGAGGTGTCGGAGAGCAGGAAACTGCGAGGGCAGTGAAAGCGTAGTTACTTGATGGTGAAATGTCAATGTGTCCCTTCTCCATGACAGCCCCAGGGGAGCCGAGTCCTCAGGCTCACCATTGGTCAGCGCCACAGGTGAAGAAGTGTCAGAGTGAGGCTGAGAGGGAGAACCAGCAGCGAAAGCGCAGTTGCTCGATGACGAAGTGTCAATATGTCCTTCTCCATGACGGTGTCAGAGATCTGGATTATTGTCAGAGTGAGGAATATTGTCAGAGTCGGGCAGACTGTCAGAAGATGGACTGAAGATGGAATGGGTTTCTGTCTGAGTCGGGGTCGGAGGTGATGCAGAGGTCTGTTGGAGCGCACGCACGGATGTGCGGGCGGAATTATGCGGCGCATCCGGAAGCACTGTTCAGAGTTAGCAGAATGGGATCGCGGCCTCAGCAACTCAAGTGGAGCGCTGTGCCCTGAGCTTGACGTTTGGGGGAGATCCCTTATTTACGGACTCACATTTACAGTGGACTTCAAAAGACTTGCGGGCAGAGCGGACCTGTAGGAGGAGCCCAGACTCTGCAAGCACGGACTCAGAGGGGGGGAAGCCCCCTTTGCAGAAGGAGAGACTCAGACCAGACAGGGGGGTACTCTAGTTGATTTCAGACTGAGGTCCCCAAAAGTATTTACAAGGTATATAAATAGGCAAGAGGGAATATAGAAAGGCCAGTCAGTCCGGCGCGGTCCGGTGCGGAGATAAGCGGGGATTGTCAAACTAAATAAGGACAAGAGCCCGGGAACTGGAAACGAGGAACAGATCAATAAACAATAAGTGGCAAGGGTTATTGATGAATAACTGAATGAGATCAATAACCTAGTGCCAATAAAGAGGGGATCAAATGCCGATATTGGCAGGGAAGCAAACAATAAATGGCACTCAGCAGGAATGAATGATAAGCTGCCAAGTGACAAATGGCCAGAGGAAAAGCGGAGGTCAGTGTGTGGCACCGATACAAGTCTGCAAATCAGGATGCGGGGTCGGTGCGATGCCGACACAAGTCCGCAAAGGGATGCGGGAATCAGCATGGTGCTGATGAGTCCGCAACAGAGGGTGGTCTGTCAGTGCTGTCACAAAAGGACAGCATGATGGCCAGCAAGATACAGAGGGGAGTGTTGACCTGACCAGAGTGTCAGGGATGCGTCCGGGGTAGAGGGGGTCCGGATGTATCGCCCGGCAGAAGGGCCCTCACGGGGTGCAAACCGGGCGCGCGTGCTGGCGGGTCCAGGGAGGGACGGCAGTCCCTGGCCACTTAGACTGAAGTGGAGAATGTGAGAAGAAGGTTACTTCTTCGGTTCCCACTTCAGGTACATTTATGTACATGCGGCTTGAGTCACATGACGAGTGCCACGTCGCCCTCGGAGACAGCCGCAGGCATCCGGGTATCCCCGTGGGGGATCCCGAGAGCGTCCGCTGCATGCGCGCGTGTTGGGCACAGCGGGGAGCCATCCGGGGTGTGTGGGCCAGATGGGTCAATAGTACATTGATACAAAGGAAGGTGGTCCGTGTAGATAGAAGGAAATAAACAAGAAAAGGAAGATGAGAGGAATGAGATAAAGAAAAGGGGAAGAAAGAGAGAAAGGAAAAGGGAGGAGAGACAGAGGAAGGAGGAGGGAGAGGGTTGGACAGTGGGGAGCGGGTGTGGTGTGGCCGGGTGGGTCCGGGTGGACCCGGGTCAGGCGGGTGTGCCCTGACACAGAGGTGTCAAGGACAACCAGAAATGGACAGAGGTTGCAGAAGGTGCGGAAGCGGTGCATGGTCGATAGAACAGACATCAGGTTGGGGCTGGTAAGGATGGGTTCAGGTCGGCGGAATCGCCTGTCGGCATTGATTCGCCACTGACGGAGCCCCGGGATTTGTCAGTTGTGACAGATGGCTCCAGAGGAGCCGAGTCCTCAGGCTCACTGTTGGTCGGTGCTGCAGGGGAAGATGTGTTGAAGGGAGCCTGAGAGGAACTGGAACTGTTGGGCAGTGAGTCCGAGGAGGTGCCTTCGCGAAAGCATAGTTACTGGATGGTGAAGTGTCAATGTGTCCCATCTTCATGACGGCTCCAATGGCCATAAGAGGAGCTGAGTCTCACTGTTTATCAGTGCTGCAGGTGTCAGAGACCAGGTTGAGACGAGGGAGTGTCTCCATGATGGAGGGCTTTGGCCTCAGCGACTTATGTCAGGAGCGCTGTGCTAAGTAACACGTCCATGTCCTAACTTACTAACTGGCAACCAGAACTGAAGGGGGTAAAGTCTAGTCGATTTTATTACTGAGGTGTAACTTATGTACAAGTTGAGTATATATATGGTTACAATGAGAGCAGGCCCACAAATGGTGGAGCCGAGCAGAGCAGAGCTAATGGGGTTAGACATTAGCCGATTGAATATTACCGACGAGTCGGGTTACAGGGTTAATGGAATGGCAGGCGATAACCCAGAAATGGAAAGGAGGGATAGGCCCGAAGGTGGGCTTGCAGGGCAAGCGAGTGTATTGCCCAGCGGAGGCAGGAGTGCGCTGAAGGAGCGGAGCTGGATCACCTTATGTAACCAGTTTCCTACGTCCAATAACGATATTAGAGTTTTGTGCTGATTTGCGTACTGACCGTGTTTTGGTTGCCAAATATATGATTGTTCACTGTCTAAACAACAATAAACACCCCCCAACGATCTCACCTGACGTATAGATCGTCTACAGATAAAATTCTATATTGACTTTACTATGATTTCTAGTCAATATTACACCTATATTTACCACTTTTCAGTAGGATGTGATTTTCCTGATAATTTACTGAAGGAAAACTGCTAATAAAATAATTCCGCAATAAATGTTACTCAATACAGGAGTGACCAAACTGCTCTTTCTATTGCTTAGAGTGCGTGCTAGTTATCTAGCAGGTTCAGGATCGCTCACTTTTCTCCTGTGGTGTGATAACCAAAAATTGCTGAGAGATTATTCAATTAAGAAGTCCCTCCACCAAATTCTCACTAATTCTCACTATGACACTTTTGTTCAGCTGTGTCTAACTGACCCTAACTCACGCTTAGAGTGACGTGTTAGTTTTATATTAGCTAACAACTAATATTTGCTTTTATCTTTTGGAGCAAACGAACCAACCACTGGTGAGGAGAATTAAACTTTTATTTCTACCTGAGGTTTGAGAGGGGGCAGAAGCGGTGGCCTTTTATGCTTTTCAGAGGCCTCTCTACTCCCACGCCTCGCACTAGTTACATGTGCTACATTTGTATTATAGATAGTTCTAGAATGATATAGGGGCTTGGGCTGTGTAAGCTTAATAATGGACTTAGGACATGACTCAGCAATAAGTAATTCATTTCTTTGTCTTTTGGGCCGATCTCAGCGGGATCTTGTAGCGCTGAAGCTATGCTCTACACCGCCTTAATTACGAACGGTTATCTTTAGAAATGACTCGGCTATAAAGGAACTTTCTAGACTGTTCTCTAATTGACCCCTTTTTGTGAAGCCGCATCATTACTAATGTTCTAGAGCCTTCCCAATTAATTAACTGATCCGCGGACTTCTGAATCACTTCATGCTTATGATCCGAGATCCAGATCATCAATCATTCCTTTGTTCCGATTTATTTGAGCTTAAAATCAAAAAGTTTTGATGAATCATGGGAAAATATACAAGATCCAGTTTTTTAGCATTTTCCCCTCTTCTGATGCGATCAAAAACTGTCCGCCCGCGCCGGAGAATACTCTATCATATGGTATTCGGTCCGCCAGACTTCCGGGCGCCAATATATTTCCCTTGAGTCACATTACTTTTTGTAAGAATTAGCAAATAAATATATATGAATTATAAGGTGTTTCGCCGTTTGAGCGATATCTCCGTCAGTTTTGAAGCTTTTAGAATGAAACAAAACCGTGGATAAAGTTAAGAGACAGTCCTTTCAGATGGTAAAAAGATTACAGTCAAAAGTTTACTGGTTCCCGAGATATTCACATTTCTTTCCCAATGTTCCTTCTTATTCTGCCGTCTATGTGCTATTTTCTTGTTGTAGGGTTATATTCTTTGAATATTACACCTATGCCAAGTTCTAGGCATGATTGTAGTAGATTAAATCTCATACTACATGGGTGTAGATAATTTATAATGATCTAATGTCTGTCCAGTCTCATAAAGATCATGAGATCTGTTAAACATCTGAACTTGTCACCTGTTCGTTGACTATTCTGATAGATCATTGTTTTATTCTTTGAATATTATTTCTCCTACAGCGCTAGCAGATGTCGGAGCTGTCTGGAAGCCTTTGGGGCTCCGTACTTAGGGAGGCGTAGGTAATAAATTGAAAAGAGGGGGTGGTGACCATCGAGAGGTACCGAGGTGATTATGGAATATGGGAGCTCCGAGGTTAGTGAAGGAGCAGAGGTAGACTGGAGGGATTGGAGGGAGTGGAAGTCGATGGCTGGGGATGGATATGACAGCAGGGGAAGTTGATGTGGGCTGGGAGAATGGGGACCATCGGACAGTGAGTCTGAGGAGTGCCTTCAATCAATAGTAAATGTAATAACAACCCCAGGCTGGATGGCGCAAGGGCATGTGAAGAAAATAGATTTTTATTTTTGGTCCCAGAGCTTGAATCCGATCTTTGTTTGTTTGTTTGATAATATCGGGGAGTAAGCGAGAACGGCCCTGAATCACGTGCTAATCTTACTCCCTTAGTTTGAATTGATATTTAAGTGTTATGGGAAAATGATTTTCGACTTTGTTATGGCCTGTGCCGGTTGCCCAGCGGCTCTGTTGTAGCCCATCTGTTATGTCAGATGTGGGTACTTTGGCTCAAGTCCCACTTGGGATTGTTTTTTGTTTTTTGTGTGTTGTTGTTGTTTTGTCTGTTTGTTTATTTTGTTTCAGGCCTCCCCATTCAAGTCGATTCATTGATACTAATGCGCTTCTATGACTTTGTATAAGTATTGCCTGGTCATGGTCCAACTTCAACTTGTGAACTGCAGGCAGGCAAAAGAAAGTATAACTCCACTACAGAGAATTGAACTGCAACACATTCAATACCCTACAATGCCAAACAACAATTTAGCCACTAGGCAACCAGTGACACCGATACCATACTACAAATTTATTTTTCTATAAAGTGTCAAGATCAATTCAAACTCAGGGAGTAACGCCCGCACGTGATTCAGGGAGTTAAGGGTCTTCACTCTTCCCCGATATTTTCGCGGTAAAAAATTCTCTAGTTGGTTTCGAAATCAAAAATTCTTTTTTTGATATCTCACGTGCCCTTGCGCCATCCAGCCTGGGGTTGTTATTACATTTACTTTCAATCAATCGATCGGATGTCACGTGGTATGAAAATTAAGTCCGGAATCACTCGGGAGCTATAGGAGCTGTTCAGAGCTTGGGAGTATCAACCAATCTCCAGAGCACTCTCGAGTGCTCTAGAGCCATACCGGTTTTCGTGACGTATGGCCTACCACGGTTTCAACTGTACCCTATATCACCCCAGCTGAGTAAGGTGCCCAAATATAATTCTTTGTTAGTCGGAAGTATTGTGAATCGCGAGATATTACCACAGCCGAAATCACGAACATTCGCAGGGACAAAGGAATAAGATTGGTCCCCTCACTGGTAGTCGCGCCCTGCATCTGCTTGTTACGGCGCCCCCTCCCCTTTCAGACCAAAATGAGGTTTACCACACCTCTCATCGCTGCTTCTCTACCTTTCATGGTGCTTTCCAGCCCCACTCGCATCCACAGTAATGAAAAAGGTCGTTCAATCCCGATTAGCAGGGGTTCCACCTTCGTTAATCATGGCGTTGTCAACATAACGGCTCTTCGGGCCCACCTTGCTTATGTCGGCGCGTAAGAATGGGATTTCGATGGGGCTTCCGTGAATTTTCAGTGTCTTTGCTTCTCCCAGAAAATACGACGTTGGCTTGAAGAATTACGAGAGGAGTACCGGCCCAGTCCATCCCCTCGCCTGGGATAGAGCGACCCACGCCTCGAAAAGAGATATTAGCACCAGTGCCTTAACAGACGTTAGGGATAGTATTTGGTACGGCAACATCTCAGTCGGGAACCCTCCTGTTACGTTTGCCATCTTATTCGATACGTGAGTTACCTGTGGATATTTGAGAGGAAATTGAAAGTGACTGCTCCAATCTCCGATTCGACATAGCGGAAGCACTGACTTCTTCATTCCTGATGTCTCTTGCACGAACTGTGGAGCACTGCGCAGTGCACGTTACAACCCTAGGTTTGTTCGCCCATTCATAATCTGTGATGCTGCATCACATTTACCATATCTTCATTGAGCTTGAGCTCCACTTCCTCGGCGGTGGGGAAAAGCTTCTCTCTCGTTTATGGCGACGGTTCTTCCTCAGTCAGCGGATACCAATATATTGACGCTGTCACTGTAGCCGGGCTCACAGCCAAGCGTCAAACCCTCGGATCCGCCACCGCCCTTACCCAGTACGTCTCCAATCATATCCGTTGATCGTGGTTCTCATTCATCAATTGGCTCGACAGTGATTTCCGGACTGGAGCGACGGATGGCTTGATGGGCCTGGCCTGGCCAGCGAATTCTGAGTTCGGTGCTACGCCCTTCTTCAACACCCTCATGCAACAGGGAACCGTGAGCCAGGGTGTCTTCGCTTTCTACTTCTCAGAGTCCGGCTCAGAACTTCGCCTCGGCGGAACCGACGAATCGCTCTACAGTACTCCTCTTCAGTGGATCCCTGTGACCCAACAGCGTTATTGGCGAGTTGGCCTCGATAGCATAAATGCCCGAGGGACGGAGGCGGTCAGCGGTCTATCAGCCATTATCGATTCAGGTACCGCTCTTATTGTCGGTGATTCATCTACAGTTAGGGAGTTCTATCGACATATTCCTGGCAGTAAGGGTGACGTTAACTATGAGTTCTTCACTTGTACATCCCCATTCGTACCCTTGTCTTGTCTGTGAAAACCTGACCCACTATTTCATTTTTTCACAGACCCCTGCCACTACGATCCTCGAATCTCCGTTACATTCAATGGGGCTTCGTATCCCATTGGTCTCAACTTCGGTCCAGTCTCCAATGGGTCAAGCCAATGTCTTGGTGGCATTGTCGGTCTAGCTTACACTCCGTTCTGGATTCTTGGTGATATTTTCATGAGGAGCGTTTATACTGGTGAGCCCTATTTTATTCTTCTCAACAATATGCATTGAGCAGATCTCGGTTTCTCCAGCCTTCAACTTTGACAACGCTAGTATTGGATTTGCTCGATTTAAATCTGAGTGGGATCCAAAATTTCCATAATGGAAGGTATTCGTCAGCGCCCACATCTCGCTGCCCATCTCCAAGGCTTTCATTTATCAGCAAACCCCCGAAGTTGATAAAAGTGATAGGAAGCACTTTAATCACTTCTATTTGTCATACCAATGTAATCTATGCGTTGATTGAGACTCAAGCAGCTCAATCACAACAATCTCAATGTACAATTATGTACTTTCTTTCCCATGCATGATATGTGAAACCATGGCTTCAACTAGGTTAGGAAATACATATGCCTATTTGCATCCAATCAACTTCACAGGTTGGCTCCAAATGAATAGCTTTGTGGACTTAACATTTTTTTCACTCAGTGACATGGCACTTATGCATCACTTGTAGTTTTGCAGGTAGGTCCCTTATGTTTCTTTCATAGTACATATTTTCCAAGTTACTCATAGCACTCTATGCATAATTACAGGTTGTACAAGCTGCTCAACCATGTCTGGTGAGTGCTACCCATTAGTACATGTTCAAGCATTCATCACCTAAGGGACCTGATAACTTGCAGAATCACCCATCCCACAACTCCTGAATCCAACCATTCCCTAAGACACACACGCATTACCAATTATCTGAATGAATGGTTCCTCTCTGTCAGAGACCAGATTCGAGACGAGGGAGAGTCTCTGTAGCGGAGGGCTTTGGCCTCAGCGACTTATGCCAAGAGCGCTGTGCCTAGTGACATGTCCGTGCCCTAACTTACTGACTGGCAATCAGAACTGAAGGGGGGTAACTCTAGTTGATTTTATTACTGGAGTGTAACCTATGTACAAGTGGGATATATATATGGTTACAGCGAAGACAGGTCCGCAATTGGCGGAGCTGAACGGAGCGGAGCTAACGGGGTTAAACATTAGCCGACTGAATATTACCAGCGAGTCGGGTTGCGGGGTTAGCGGAAAGGCAGGCGATGACCCAGAAACGGAAAGGAGGGATAGGCCCGAAGGTGGGCTCTGCAGGGCAGGCGAGTGTATTGCCCAGCGGAGGTGGGAGTGCGCTAGCGGACGTCGGAGCTGTCCGGAAGTCTTCAGGGCTCCGTACTTAGGGAGGCGTAGGTAATAAGTTGAAATGAGGGGGTGGTGACCATCGAGGGGTACCGAGAGGATTGCGGAATACGGGAGCTCCGAGGTTAGTGAGGAAGGAGCGGAGTTAGACCAGAGGAATCGGAGGGACCGGAAGTCGATGGCCGGGGATGGATATGACACTCTCGTACTAAGTTCAATTACTGTTGTGATAGCACTCCATCAGTAGGGTAAAACTAACCTGTCTCACAATGGTCTAAACCCAGCTCATGTTCCCTATTAGTGGGTGAACAATCCAACGCTTACTGAATTCTGCTTCAGTATGATAGGAAGAGCCAACATTGAAGGATCAAAAAGCAACGTCGCTATGAATGCTTGGCTGCCACAAGCCAGTTATCCCTGTGGTAACTTTTCTGACACCTCTAACCTTAGATCCCAAGGGTTAAAGGATCGATAGGCCTCACTTTCATGCTCAACACTTACACTGAAAGCGATAATCAAGAAGACTTTTGCCCTTTTGCTCTACTTGAGATTCCTGTTCACAATGAGTCTCCCTTAGGACACCTGCATTATCCTTTAACAGATGTGCCACCCCAGCCAAACTCCCCATCTGGTCTGTGTTTTTGATGTAGGTCGGCCCCCCTTACTATCGGCCTTTTATGTCTGAACAACACCCAGCGCTGATTCCTTCTTCACCAAATGTGCTAGGCGACTATAGAGGTAGTGGTATCTCACTGGCAGCCCAATTGTCACGACCCGACATATCCATCACTTCCGTCAATGTGTCCTAGTGCCACTTGGCCCATCCCGCCCACTATCATCATCATCTGCCCACCCGTCACCCTCATCTGCACTTCCTCCCCCATGTGCATACCTCCCAACCTAGGTTGCCCACTTCATTGTTGTCCGCTCGCCAGCCGGATGGCTTGCTAGACGGCCAGATGGTCTTTTCTCTTTTGTCCGCTTGCAGACTATTGTTCCTCCTTTTGTTCCTTGCTTGCCTTTTGTTGACCAAGTTTGCTGATATTAACTATTTGTTTCTTTCTTCATTCATTAATATTGCGCTTGATCCACCACTCCTTCCGGGCCGGTCCTATTTAGTTACTTGTGTTTATAACGTGTGTAGGTTACACCAGATGTACCTCAGTTCGTATATCGACTTGGATTCCCCTCTAGACTCTTCCCCTCATCGTAAGGCTTCTGTCTGAAATTGGGATACCAACGTAAGAATGAAGCGCAGTGCTCCACCTGAGTCGCTGAAGCTAAAGTCCTGCCCCTCCGACCTTACGAGCCTGGACGACTTCGCACGCCTCGTGGGTCACCCAGATACACGTCTGACACGTTCCTGACACCAATGGACCTCCCACTTATACTGCACCCTCTATGCCCCCTTTCAAGACCAAACTAGAGTCAAGCTCAACAGGGTCTTCTTTCCCCACTGATTCATCCAAGCCTGTTCCCTTGGCTGTGGCTTCACTAGATAGTAGTTAGGGACAGTGGGAATCTCATTGATCCATTCATGTGCATCACTAATTAGATGACAAGGCATTTGGCTACCTTAAGAGAGTCATAGTTACTCCCACCGTTTACCTGCACTTGTTTGAATTTCTTCACTTTGACATTCAGAGCACTGGGCAGAAATCACAATGCCTAAAAGCCCTTCCAGACTCTTGCGATGCTATGTTTTAAGTAGACAGTCAAATTCCCCTGGTTCATGTCAGTTCTAAGTGGATTGTTAATGCACCTCTGGTCGCTTGCACCAGGCCAGTTAAGTTGGGCTGTAAACACTGCTGATGCTTTCATACCCTGCCCTCCTGATGGCGAGCCTGGAAGGGGCTTGTTATGCCTACACCCCGACCAGTGGATAGGTCCACACCAACAGGCCCAGTACCCCATACTCGACCCAGAGAATTGCCCAATCCTTAGAGCCAATCCTTGTCCCAAAGTTACGAATCGATTTTGCCGACTTCCCTTATCTACATTGTTCTACTTGACTAGAGGCTTTTAACCTTGAAGACCTGCGGCAGTTGGTCCATGTTTCAAGATGGGTCGATTGCAAGCCATTCCACCAGCCATGCCACTGGCCCCCAGAAGGGGCTGCCTGTGCATGCCAGGCTGGACATATTACAAGTCAAGTCTCTTCAAGGGACAAGACCGCTGGCAAAGCTAGTCCAAAGTGAAGACGCTTGATGGGCCTAGCTATGCTGACTTGAATTGCTTCTCTTGCAACAATTTCACGCCTTTTGACTCCCTTCACAGAGTGCTATTTCATCTTTCCCTTGCAGTACTTGTTCTCTATCAGTCTCTCACCTGTATTTAGCTTTAGAAGGAATCTACCTCCCATGTTTAAGCAGCAAATCCCAAACTGCTCGACTCTCTGAGATAGCCATCGTAATAGACTTGCACATTGGCATCAAGGATGGGATTGTCACCCTCTATGATGTCCCACTGACAGCCTATTGTACTTGGACGCCATGCAGTACAGACGGACTACTCCTCATCTACAACTCGGACAGTGCAACACTGCCAGATTCCAATGATGAGCTCTTCCCTCTTCACTCGCAGTTACTGGGGGAATCCTAGTTAGTTTCTTTTCCTCCGCTTAGTGATATGCTTAAGTCCAGCAGGTAGTTTCCTCTGACCTGAGGCAACCCATAGTAATGATGATGATAACAATAAATTGCTAGTTGAAGTCCAATCATGCATGCATCATGATGGTCATCAGACACCATGAACAGAGCTGCCCTTGTGCCCCCAATGCAGCCCCAAAGTCCTTCAACCCAGCCTTGCTGGCTTAGACTGAAAACCCCAATCAAAGCACCTATGACAGTCAAGGGCTTGCCATAGTGCAGAGCCTGCGTCCCCAATGCATGCTTGAAAGTCCAATCCACACAACGCCTGATTTTGAGGCAAGCCAGAGCAACTGCCCCAAGCAAGCCCAATCCCCAGCTAACCAATGGTTACACTGGATCAGTTCTCATTACCCTCAGCCAGAGATACCCTTGTCTTCATCCTCCGCCACCACTTTGGAATGGACTGGAAGGGTGCCGTTTGCGTTCAAAGACTCGATGATTCACTTGGTGTTAGATTAGAAGTGCCATGCAACTCACACCAGTTATCGCAGTTCACTGCGTTCTTCATTGATGCAAGAGCCTAGAGATCCATTGTTGAGAGTTATTTAAAAACCCATTGGAAAACTCAGCTTGATGTTATAGACCTAATCAGTCAAGAACAGGGGCACCACATGTAGGTCTAGGTCCATGCTGGGCCAAAAACAGATATGACCCCCTCGACTTACATCAATTCGTTGAGGCCCATAACTTCAGACGATCGGGCACAATGGAAGGAGGGCATGGAGCACACACACATTGGGGTTGCACACCAAATAACTGTGGATGCCTACCTTACACCCAACAAATCCAGCAGAGAGATCGACCAAGTAGTCTCCTTCTCCTTCTCCCCCCTCTTCCAACCCAAGTCATCCCACCACCTGCGGACCAGCTAGGCCTTGTCCCGTAGGTAAAAACATTGGAGTGGACAAGGACATGTCTTCACTGGAATGTTGTTGGCACAAGGCCAACTGGAATATGTATGTACACATCCACATTACACCAGGGCACTTGTGCCCCTTTGTAGACTCCGATGGACACTGAGGGTGACAAGGCCTCAGAGCCCATGGAGGGGCATCCACCACCAATGGGACTGGACATGCCCTTGGGCCCGACCAGAACAGCTCTATAACTGGAAAGACGCCTGTGTCAGTACACCGTCCAGCCTAGTCACCCCCACCAAGTCAGGCCCTAACCAGGCCTCCCCACCAAGAAGACCACACCCATGCATCCAGCCAATGGATGTGTGCATGGGTTGGGTTGGAAAAAAACCATCTCACTATACCCACAGGGGTTGATCCTTCTGCAGGTTCCTGACCAGAGCAGAAGGAACTAGATGAGTTCCTACGCAAGAACCTGTGGAATGGATGCATATGCCCGTCGAAATCGCTGATGGGCACCCCTGTATTCTTCGTCAAGAAGAAGGACAGGTCCCTGCACCTGGTCCAGGACTATCGAAAGCTCAATGAGATAACAGTCAAGAACTCATACCCCCTCCCACTCATCTCTGATGTCCTCACATGC